CTGGGGCCCCCTGGCGCGCACCCTGCGTGCCAGGAAGGGGGGGGGGGGGAATCGCCGGCTTGCTTGTGTGTGTGTGTCCCTGCGCCCCGCATGTTGACCTCCAGAAAGCAGCTGAGCGACGCAGAGAAGACGAGTTCGACTGTGCCGACATTCGCGCGCGCAAGCTGCCCGCGTAGGGTCACGCGCGGGCGCCCTCGTTTCCAGTGTGGAGTGCCGCGCCCGCGACCTCGATGTTACCTTGCGTAAGACATGTTTCTTTTCGTCGCACGCCTGGCGTCTCGCGACCTCCTCCTCCTCCTCCTCCTCCTCCTCCTCCTCCTCCTCCTCCTCCTCCTCTCCTCCTCCTCCTCCTCCTCCTCCCCCCTCCTCCTCCTCCCCCTCCTCCCCCTCCCCCTCCTCCTCCTCCCTCCTCCCCCCCTCCCCCTCCTCTCCTCCTCCTCCTCCTTCCTCCTCCTCCCCCTCCCCCTCCTCCTCCTCCTCCTCCCCCTCCTCCCCCTCCTCCTCCTCCTGAAATCGGAACGGAGGTGTTGCATCGTTTTCGGCCTCTGGGCGGCCCTCACCGGGCCTCGGGGCCCTTCAAGCAACGGCTGGCGATGAGAAGCGGTCGCGGGGTCGGGGGCCCGTGCCTCCATACTGCCGAGACGCTGGATGCCTGGGCTTCGGTCTGAAGCAAAGGCGGAGCGAACAGGGAACGAGGGCACATCAGAACATAACGAACACCGAACACGCGAACACGCCGTTTAGTTCAAGCGCACGGCCAGGGGCTTCGGCCTCTCGGGGCCCTCACCAGGCCTCGGGGCCGTTAAGCAACGACTGACGATGAGACGTGGTCGCGGGGTCAGGGGCCCGTGTCTCCATGCTGCCGAGACGCTGGATGCCTGGGCTTCGGTTTGAAGCAAAGGCGGAGCGAACAGGGAACGAGGGCACATCAAAACATAACGAAGACCGAACAAGCCGTGTAGCTCAAGCGCACGGCCAGGGGCTTCGAGCAAGCAGTGTTGGCCCCGGACTGGCGCACAGGAGGGCCCCCCCCCGCTGCTGCGGCCACGGGCACTGGCAGTCGGCCGCACCGTAAGAGTGACCCTTTGCCAGGTTGACCCCTGGTGCGGGCCCAGGGTGCGGGCAGTTTTTTCACCCACATCCAGTGCGTCTGAGATTTTATTGGAAGGGGCGCCGCAAGGCCGAGGTGCCCTGGATGAGAGTAAGGGGGCCGAGCGGTCATTCGCTGTCCCTGGGTGCGTGGCTGAATAAGGAATTCGTTGTGAGAATTATGTTTGTTGCGTTGTTGCTGTTGCTGTTGTTGTTGGTGTTGCTGCTGTTGTTGTTGCTGTTGCAAGTGTTGTTGGTGTTGATGTTGCTGGTGTTGTTGTTGTTGTTGGCGTTGGTGTCGGTGTTGTTGTTGCTGCTGTTGCTGTTGTTGGTGTTGGTGTTGCTGTTGTTGTTGTTGTTCTTGTTGGTGTTGGTGCTGTTGTTGTCTGCGTGTGTGTTTGTTTGCTTCTTTAGTTGTTTGTTTGTGTGTTTGTTTGTTGTCGTCGTCCCACCCGCGACCCACCCTCAAGGGAGGAAAAACCACCCAGACCTGACAATTGGCGTTTACTAAACGGCCTTGGGCGTTGACTAAACAACCCTGCCAGGTTCGATGCATTCCTTGTGTGCGTTTACTAAACAGCTTCGCTTGTCGGGGTGATGATTATGGGGTGGATTTTCTGCCCTCTATACCCACGACCCAATAGCGACCCACCCGCGACCTACCCATATTGGTTTAACGAAAAAATCGGCGCCTGCGGCCGGCTCGTTGCATAATTCGTGAAACTTTGGCACCTGCGGCGGGCTTCTCCGGAGTCTCGCAAACTGCCGACGACCCCCACCGCCCTCTCATTCTTAACCGCATATGCGGGGTGTTACGCATGCATAAAAGTCGAGCCTCTGGGGGCCAAATTTTCGCCCATGTCCAGTGTGCCTCGGGTTTCTGGGGAAGGGAGCCCGAAAATCCAAGCTGCCGTGGATATGGACACAGGTCATGCCCGCACAGGGAGGTGTCCCCCTTCAGGGCCCCCCACGGTAATGCGGGATGACGATTAGCATAAAACATGGGAGAGAACGATCAAAAAAATAGTTCCCTGTTATTTCTGCATAACTTTCTGACTGGAGGAGAACGATAGAAAATAGTTTTCCAGCCCGCGGCCGGTTTTTTCGAATCGTCATCCCGGGCGCCGCCGCGTGAACACGACCCCCGTTCATTTATTAATCGTCATCCTCCATTACTGGCTGGCGCGCTTGGAGCTCGCCCCACCGTGGCCCCCTCGAGCCGCGCACTGAAGCAACAAAAAACGGGAGCGGGCGCCGCCCGCGACGGGGCGCCCCACGCGATCGCCCGCCGTGCTCTGCAGCGCGGCCGCCCTCGCCCGTGCGCCCCCGGCCCGTATGGGGCGCTGAGCGGTCGCCCGTCGGGGCTGCGGCAGGGGCCCCCGAGCCGCTGGCGATGGCGCATGGTGCGGAGGCGCGGTGGTCTGGCTGCTCCTCCTCCTCCTCCTCCTCCTCCTCCTCCTCCTCCTCCTCCTCCTCCTCCCTCCTCCTCCTGCCTCCTCCTCCTCCTCCTCCTCCTCCTCCTCCTCCTCCTCCTCCTCCTCCTCCTCCTTCTCTCCCTCCTCTTTCTCTTTCTCCTCTCCTCCTCCTCCTCCTCCTCCTCCTCCTCCTCCTCCTCCTCCTCCTCCTCCTCCTCCTCCTCCTGCTCCTGCTCCTCCTCCTCCTCCTCCTCCTCCTCCTCCTCCTCCTCCTCCTCCTCCATCCTCCCTCCTCCCCTCCTCTTTCTCTTTCTCCTCCTCCTCCTCCCTCCTCCTCCTCCTCCTCCTCCTCCCCTCCTCCCTCCTCTCCTTCTCTTGCTCCTCCTCCTCCGCCTCCTCCTCCTCCGCCTCCTCCTCCTCCTCCTCCCGCCTGCGGCCCCTGGGGTGCTCGTCACCGCCCCCAGGTGGGTATCCCTGCTTCCTCTCCGATCGCCCAGGAGTCGCCTGTTTTTTTCCCAACCATCCTGTGGTGTTGGGTCCTCGTTTTGAAGAGAAGGCGCCCCGCGTCCCACCTCCTCTCCTCCTCTCTCTTCTCCTCTCCTCTCGTTTCGTGGCCCCATAGGGAGCTCCACCGAAGGCCCCATGGCTGCCGTCCGCATGCGTCCCGCACACCCATTTCGGCACACCCCTCACACGTTTCGTGGCCCCACAGGGAGCTCCACCGAAGGCCCCAGTGCTGCCGTCCGCATGCGTCCCGCACACCCATTTCGGCACACCCCTCACACGTTTCGTGGCCCCATGGGGAGCTCCACCGAAGGCCCCATGGCTGAGTACGATGTTGGGCAAAGCTACCCTCGTACAGGACATGCTGGGCGGCACGACCACACGCACGAACCCGGGCAAAGCTACCGTCTTGCAGTGGCCGTCTGTTGCTGTACCTTCTCCACCACATCTTCCAATACCTTGTTCTGGAGCTCCCTCCTTGCCCCCTACACCCTCACCTGACCACGCCCGTGGACAAGAGCATCACGGAGACCTTGAACGAGCCGGCGCCGGAGCCGACAGACAATCACCGACGATGTCAACGGCGAGAATGGGCAAAGATACCATCTGGCCAAATCTCTCCCCACAAGTTCCTCGACTCCTTGATACCCATGATCTTCCACTTCACTCAGTAGGCATTGCGGGTGTACCGAGCATGCAGATTGAGAGTATCTCACCCAGAGTTTCACGACAATGCAGCAACATACATAACTCGTTTGGTATTTCCTCACATCCGCATTTTGACTTGCAAGGTTCAGATATTGATCAAACGCCAAATTCAGCGAAGGACGAACGACATCAACATACATACTTGGATATGCAGGGCAATGGAAATCCGAAGCAGCCGCCAAGCTTATCGCAGTCTGCCCGGGATACTTCCACCTGGTTCAGACCACGCCGAAGTTGCACCCCACTATCCTCGCAGGTTCTCGGGACGTGGAACGTCGAGGGACTTCGGGGCGATTCTTCTATCAAGTTCGTGGAGCTCACCAAAATGATGCGCGACAGAAGTGTAGCAATTCTTTGCATTGAAGAAACGCAACTCAATGGTACAGCTTATTACAAAGACGACGACGGCTTCCTCATATGCCTTTCTGGCGAATGTGACGTCAAAGTCCGATCTACTGCCGGAGTCGGGTTTATCGTAGCACCATGGGCTGCCTCAGCAGTTGTGGCTTTCAGGGCATGTTCTTCGAGAACAGCTACATTGCGTGTTAAAGTGGCGGGCGGCATGCTGACATTGATTTCTGCGTATGCCCCCCACAGTGGGCACGATCCGGAAGAGCGTCAAGATTTCTACAACGACCTCCAGACACTCATCAAGCCTACCACGTCTCATAGTACGACCGTGGCCATGGGGGATTTCAACGCCAAAATCTTGCAGCAGAATACGGGGGAAGACAACGTCATTGGCAAGCACGTCTTCTTGGCGAGCCCTCCAAAGAAGACTCCGACATGTATCACGAATAGACAATTGCTTGTGGAGTGTTGTATCGCAACAGACATGGTCATTGCCAACACCTTCTTTGACCTCCCAAATGAGAAGTTGGTAACTTACCGCGACTTGGGAACAAAGCACACAGACCCTATTACGCCGGATCGTTTCGCACAAATTGACCACGTTCTGTGTCACGGTTCTTGCGTTCCATTGGTATCATCATGTCAGGTATGCCGGGATGCAGCGCTCAACAGCCATCACTACTTGCTCTTGGTCGACCTGGCCATCAACTTCTCCACGAAGGCTGACCTTCGCCAGCCTCGAAAAGATATTTCTTCTCTGAGCGACTCCAGGGTGGCTTCAACATTTACTTCAACATTTTATGACACATGGAGAGCTGCAGACGACGTCGAAAACCTAGACTCTATGGCAGCAAATTTGGAGATTGCATTCGCGACGGCTGCAACGACCCTGCCGGCACGGGCTGCCACTGCGAAGCGCCCATGGATATCTCAGACCACTCTTGACTTAATTGACAGGAGAAACTCTTACAGACATTGTCCAGACTATTACAATGAACAGTTGCTGAACAGAGCAATTCGCCGAGCAGGCCGGGAAGACAAACGAACGTGGATGGGCAAATATTTGGTGGGAGGGAGTTGGGAGGCAGCGCACGAATTACGCAGGCCTGCTGCTACCAAACACGCGGGCGTGAAAGACTTGGATGGGCACCTTACCGACACCGCTGCACGACCCGACGCTTTGGCGGATTATTTTGAAAAGATTCAGTGGCAGGTACGTTTCCCAGAGCTGACACCATCTTCGACGCGAGCTTTAGGGCCGACCCTCAGCGTGAACACGACCACATTCACCAAGCTGGAACTGCAGACGGTCCTTCGTAAAATGAAAAGCCGGAAAGCAGCAGGACCTGATGATATCCCGCCAGAATTTTGGAAAGCTGTTGGTCAAAACGATTACGCATGCGAAGCCTTACTGCAGATGTGCGTCAAATGCTGGGAACAGAAAGGCTTGCCGAAAGCATGGAGAACAGCGAGCGTGCCCCTCCTTTTCAAGAAGGGCGACGCCACGCTCCCCAGCAACTACCGCCCCATCTCCTTGTTAGCTGTGGGGCACAAGGCTTTGGCAACAATGATACACAACCGGCTAGTGCAAGGAGGAGCCGAAGGACGCATGAAAGAATCCCAGTTCGGCTTCCGTCCAAAGCGTGGTACATCAGACGCCCTCATGCTTATCAGGAGGATGGTGGACGCAGCGTATCAAAACAAAGGAGATGGAATCATACTGGTGTTGCTGGATTGGGCAAAAGCTTTCGACCGCCTCAAGCCGGACTGTCTTTGCAAAGCCCTCGAACGCTTCGGCGTCCCATCCCCTATGGTGGACATGATCAGAGGCATCTATTCAGAGCGGTTTTTCACCATCGTGGACCATTGCGGGCGCTCCAGTGAAAGGCAACAACGCTCAGGCATCGCTCAGGGGTGTCCCTTGTCACCATACCTTTTTGTAGCAGTACAAAGTGTCATGCTGCACGACGCCCTTACCCCTCTGGCTCTGGAAAGCGAGCCCGAATATATTGTTACCCGTGATATCCTCTACGCTGACGACATTTTGCTTGCATCCAAACATATATCCAATTTACATGTTATGTTGGAGGCGATCATTCTGGAAGGGCAAAAATATGGCATGGAAATGAATTGGGACAAGACGGTACAAATCCAAGTCGGATGTGCAGATACGATTAGAATGCCCACGGGCGAGCCGGTGAAGAACGTCAGGGACGCCGTCTACTTGGGTGGGATCGCGTCTTGCGATGGGCGGGCAAAGCATGAGTTATCCCGCCGCATTGGCGAAAGCACGAACACATTCAAGCAGCTACAGAAACTTTGGGCGCACGCAGCAATTGATAAAAGCAGAAAGCTTGACATATATTCCAGTTGTGTGGTCAGCAAGCTTCTATACTCTTTAGATTCCTTGTGGCTTCTCAAGGCGGACAGAGATCGTTTAGACGCTTTTCATTGCAGGTGCTTACGACAAATCATGGGTATCCCGCATTCGTATTATTCGCGCATTTCTAACGCAACAGTGTTGGAGAGGGCAGGCTCCAAACCATTATCGCAGATATTACACGACAAGCAAGTCAGCCTGCACCGAAAAATCGCAGCGCAGCCAGGCCATTCCCTGGTGAAGCAGCTCGCATGCGAAGCAGACGGTACCCCAAAGGACTGGGCTCTTCGCCGGCGCAGAGGCCGCCCAAGACAGCAGTGGGCACACGAAGTGTACGCGATGAGGCTTCTTCACGCATGAAAGCAGGCCGTTGCGTCACACCATCGTTTTCGCAGCGCGTTTGGCGGACTGCTTCCGGGACGCGTTTGGCGTACCTCCATATTTTTTTAGTCATCTCTCTGCCTACGCGTCTTCATGATGCACGGCTTGCTTGCTTGCTTGCTTGCTCGCACGTTTCGTGGCCCCACAGGGAGCTCCACCGAAGGCCCCAGTGCTGCCGTCCGCATGCGTCCCGCACACCCATTTCGGCACACCCCTCACACGTTTCGTGGCCCCACAGGGAGCTCCACCGAAGGCCCCATGGCTGCCGTCCGCATGCGTCCCGCACACCCATTTCGGCACACCCCTCACACGTTTCGTGGCCCCACAGGGAGCTCCACCGAAGGCCCCATGCACTGCCGTCCGCATGCGTCCCGCACACCCATTTCGGCACACCCCTCACACGTTTCGTGGCCCCACAGGGAGCTCCACCGAAGGCCCCATGGCTGCCGTCCGCATGCGTCCCGCACACCCATTTCGGCACACCCCTCACACGTTTCGTGGCCCCACAGGGAGCTCCACCGAAGGCCCCAGCGCTGCCGTCCGCATGCGTCCCGCACACCCATTTCGGCACACCCCTCACACGTTTCGTGGCCCCACAGGGAGCTCCACCGAAGGCCCCATGGCTGCCGTCCGCATGCGTCCCGCACACCCATTTCGGCACACCCCTCACAC